GAAAACATCGCGCTCAGCCATGTTCGTTAATTTTCCGGAAACTTTCTCGGAAAAGTCAGGGTCACCAGTGTAGTGCCGTGAAAAGAGAGTCGGAGGCGGTGTATTAAGAACAGAGTTCCAATCTTTATTATCCATTAATATCAGAGAGGTTAACACATGCACTGCTCTGCCTGATGAGCTAGCAGGAATGGCAGCTAAAGCTACAGGTGTTCCCCACTAAAGGGTCCGTGTGGCAACACAATAAGCAAGGTGAATTATGGTCCCACATGGTGTCACCACAACATCATCTTTGTTAACAACAAATGCACACAAATTACAGTAAAAATGGTTGCACATCATGTTTCAAAATGCCATACTTGTTTATTAGGTTTATTGTATAACATAATTTAAGGATAATTATACAGTAATGGTCCATATTGATTTGTTTTATTGTTTTTTATTCTCTTGTACAAGAAAGCCCAGTCTATAACTGCCTAACATAGGAACTGGGTACAGTACCTTCTCCCAGACACAAATACTCAAATAAAATGGTTTGCTTTATCAGCATTGGTATTATCTTATCAATGCATTTGATCTACAGTATTATCCAACTTAATGCTTAACACTTCTCTATTATGTTTTAACTTGGAGGCTACGATTAGCATCGTTAGCGCAGATGTAGCTACCACTTGCTTAAATGCTAACCCAAGCCTTAACATTCATTAACGTTAGCTGACTAAAAACATAAGCAAAAGCAACACATGAATAAAGTACTCGAATTTCACTTACCGCAAAACCGCATTTATGCACAGTCTGTTTTAACCGCAGAGCGATTCACAATAGTCCGATATAAGTATGAAGAATAGTCTACAAGGCACCAGCACAACAAACACGGCCGAGCTCAAGTTATGTTCCCCGGATGAGTTGAGCAGGCTGAGTCCCTGTAGCACCACGGAGCTGCTAGCAGATCGCTGGACATACCTGTCACTCAATGTGACCACGCCCTAATGTATGCATAACTTTAAGGCTTAATATAACTTAAACAAATTATAAATGGTAGTAACTCATTAATAAATGGGAATGTGTTTAACACTTTACAAGGCTCTCTTTTGGCAGTTATAAATGTTAGTAACTCGTAAATAAATGGTCATAAAGAGATGCCAAGAAACATCAAGATGGATGGGGGGAGAATCAACTCAGTGAACTACAGATACCAAAGATGCTGGCTGATGAAGAAGACGAAGTAAGCTAGTGCCAATATAAGGCTTAGTCATCTTTCCAAATAGTGAGCCTGTGTTGGTGTATGAAAACTATGTTAGAACTGGTTTATAAATGGTTCTTAATAATTAATAAAGTGTTTACAACCTAATTAATAACCTCATTATAAACCCTTTATGAATCCTTTATAAGGGTAGTCTTATTGTGAAGTGGTACCAAATGTTCTTAATGACATTTTGACAAACTACGCTATCACTCTTTTTCTTATTTGTTACTACTTACTATACTATGATTTGTTATGATATTTCAGCCTACTACTAATTTTTACCATACTATTAATTGTATTCCAGTTTATGCTATAGTCATACTATACTAGGCCATTTGATATTTTCGACATACTATACTTTTATTCAGGATATCTGTCATATACTATAAAATGAGTTTTTATATTAATTTTCAACATGCTTTGATAAACCTTCTTTTCTTACATTGTTCTTTTTTCATGATATTTCCAAAATACTATGCTATGATTTTATTCATGATTCTATACTTTTTATATTTTTTGATCAAACTTTTTTTGTTTTATACTATTGTTTTAGACTTTTAAATTATATTTTCGATATACTATACCATGTATTTTTCATAACATATTTTCAATATACTTTAGTTTATCAACATAACTAGAACTTTTTCCTATATTTTCTTGACATTATAGACTAATCCACATTTATTGGTTAAGATGAATATATTTCTTTTTACAATGTTAAGTAGAACCAGACAATAGAGCAGGGCTATTCAAGTAGTTTGGAATGGGGGCCGGTTGATGAAAATGATCCAAAGCAAGGGGCCGGGAAAAAAATGACTTGAAATATGAGCAATCATATTAAGAGCTTCAGATACAGTAAATACAGGTCACCCTTGAAAAAGAGATCAATGATCTCAATGGGATTCACCTGCATAAATAAAGGTTTGAAATTAAATTAAATGACTACAACAGCATAGTGGAGTGCATATATTTTGTTTAATTAAATCAAACATAGCCCCAAGGCCTTTATAAATGGCAAGTTCAGAACTCAGTACATGTGAAGCTAATATAACCATCAACATCATTAGATTTAGATTAAATTATCTAATAATTCACACAAAATAGCAATTTAGGGCCATACACAAACAACAGTGCATATTATGGTATAATAACAATAAAGACAAGTGAGCCATACCACATCAATTGCTTAATTAAAAGCAAAAACAATTGTCAAAAGACTTGTATTAATTACCAAACCACAACACACAGCCTTTTAAAACTCAAACATTTTTTGATTAACATAGTGATAACTGTATGCAACCAACTTGGCAGATATGTGCCATCTAATGAGAGAAATGGCATTTTTTCGATTTAGCAAGAGCAGGGAAGTCGGGAGTATAGGTTGTCATGGCAATACGCATACAGTGATGCAGATGCTGGTCGGAGAGGGATGCACGATTATTAGTTTGTATGGCATTCATGCGTGATAATGCCGATTCGCACGTGTAAGTCGAGCCAAACATTGTGAGGAGAAAAAGTGCAAGACCCCTTGAATGAGGGAATTTCTCGTGGCTGACTTCATGAGTCCAGAACTTTTCAGAACCTGCCAGCTGAAATGACTGTCGCAGGTCATCTGATGACTGAATGTCAATGAGTTCGAGTTGTAAAGACGCCTCATTTAATGTCACAATCAGCTCCTTTGTTTTCAGTGCAAACTCCCCCTCTACATTCACAGAGAAAGGGTCCTTCACAAATCTCATCACTTCAGTCGGGAGACTGAAATGTTCAAACCTCGCGGCAAAGTTGGTTTTCAATGCATCCATAAATCCAGTCATCACCTCGGTGATTTGTAAACCTGCAGTGCGCAGTGTTGGAAAATGGAGCATTTTGCCTGCATAAATCTGCAAAAAAAGTGTGAGCTTTTTTTGAAACGCATGGAGTCTCTCCACAAGTTGTGTAACCATTTTATCTCTGCCCTGCAGCTACAAATTGAGTTGGTTCAGATGTTGGAAAATGTCGCTCAAAAAGCAAACAGCAGCGTAAAACTCATCATTCTCTATCAGACACAGAAAGGCGTTGGCTTTTTTATGTTTTGTATTGCGGAGAAACGCCATGATCTCCTCCTTAAGTTCACAAAATCGTTTCAAGACGTTTCCTTTGCTTAGCCATCAAATGGCACTGTGCATGAGCAAATCATTATATTGAGCTGACATGTCTGACAACATCTGGCGGAAAAGGCGGTGCTGTAAACTGGAGTTACAACGAACAAAGTTAATAATCGCCATGACAGAGTCCATTGTGTTTTTTAACTCACCACTCAGTTTTGCGCACAGGAGGCTTTGGTGGATGAGGCAATGCAGCGATCTCAGCTGTGGAGCCACATCTGCCAGCCTAGCGGACAGTCCCCGTGTTCGGCCCGACATCGCAGGGGCCCCATCCGTTACAAGCATGTTAATACGATCCAATCCCAATTTGTGCTCCTTGAAAAACGAAACCACTTTGTGGAACATTACCTCACCGGTCGTGTGTCCATCCAAAGGAATGAATCCAAGTAGATCCTCCCGAAAGCACTCACCATCAAATAATCTAACATAGAGGCACAGCTGTGCAACATCGCTGCTGTCAGTGGATTCATCAATAGCTAGCGACATAACCTCCGCCTTTCTCAGTTTGTCCAAGAGAATCTCAAAAACGTCCGATGCAAGAATCTCCACTCTCCTTGATGTTGACGTGTCAGGAATCGGAATGTTCTTAATTGAGTCAATAACGCTTTTTCTGATTTTCTCATCTGCAACCACTTACTCAATTGATGCAAGCATACACTCTTTGACTGTCTCTGCGTCCGTAAAAAGGCCTTTTCTTGTTGCCTAATATCCAGGCCACTCGTAGGGACGCTGCGGTAGCTCTCTCTTGGTCAGTGCAAGCCCGAAACAGGGAGCTACGTCTTTGGTCATAGCACGAAGTTAGCCCCAACATCTTCTGGCGGCGAGCATCAGAGCCCGCTGGAAAAGTGGCGTCAAAGTTGGCGTGAGCTGTCTTAAAATGCCTTCTCAAGTTGTGCTCTTTACACACCGATAAACACTCATTGCAGATTAAACACCCGGCCTCCCACTGACATTTACGCACAAGTACTCTTTCCACTCGCTGTTGAATTGCCGGTTTTCGGTGTCAACCTTTCGTTTTTTTAACGTAGAAAGAGACATTTTGATATCCAACTATGCTGACCAATGTTCTTATTATACATCCATGATGCTGACCAGGTTTGATTAATCGTTCCATTGGCGCGAAACCGTCGAAGGTGCGCGAGCTTGTAGTGAAGGGCAGCGCGAGCCGCGAGGACGCGCGCAGAGACGCAATAAATGACAGGAGTTGGTAGTAGGTGGGTTCGAAACCCGAGCCCGCCAACGTTTTCAGGCAATGTCTTCCCCTCTATCTCTCAATGTAACACCCTATCAGGAATAAAGGCACTCTGGTCCAAAAAAAATAATATTTAAATAAAAAAAAAAATTTGAATTACATTTTTTTTTTAACTTTTTAACATTATACTCAAAAGGGCCAGTAAATATCACCCGGGGGCCGGATTTGGCTCGCGGGCCGCCAGTTAAATAGCCCTGCAATAGAGCTTCCAATATTCTGACCTAAACAACAATAACTTCAAAATGTTACAGTAATTTCAGTCCTGTACTTTGGTAAATGTATATCCTATCCAACACTTTACAGAATATATTGTAGTCACAGATGTTCATGCTGTTATTTTGTGACACTTCCAGCCACATCTATGAGAGAACTGCTTATCTCATCATTTCAAGAAAGCCAGCGAATGCTACATGAAGCCTCTCTTCACTCCAGACAAAGGTGATGAATCATCAAATGACTTTTTAAAGTTTCAACTGAAACAGTATGTATTCAACAGGGGAAAGACAAAAAAAAAAAAAAACCTTTCTTTTATCTGTCCATTTCCAGACGAAGCTCAGCCTCCTCTTCCATGCATGTGTCTCCATTCCTTCGGCAAATGGAGCCCGAGACCCTGGAGAGTTCCCGAGCTGCAGAGCTTTTTCAAACAACACTGCATGTCCTCGACAACAGAGGGAGACAGAGATATAAGAGGGATGTCATGGCACCAGGTAGAGTTGATTTATTATTTAAAATCTAGTTTAACCATAGTCAAAACAACACCTATTGCGATTGGTCCTAATTGGGCCATTACCAATTGTGAAGCTGACCGTTGAGCGGCCCGACCAAGCAAGGAGGCAGAACGTCCAAAATACAACCAGGTGTGGGCATTTATTACTCACAAACATATGACACGGCCTCAATCTGCTGTTCACGTGAGCAGTCACCAGGATCTCACACACACTACCACCCACACAGACAGGGAAACAGAGCCTAAATACCCATACACTAATCAGCAATTAGACACAGGTGAGGAGGGAGGAGACAACACAGGGCACCAGGTGAACACAATCAGGAGCAACAGACAAAACGGGTTTGGGGAACACCCCCAAACCAAACCACATGTGCAATGTTACAAGGCCCGAAGCCGTCAGTCACCTTCGTCACATTTCCTCCTTCCTCTCCCGAAAGAGAACAGTACCTCATTCCTGCAACACTTATGGATCTTGGCCATTTTGCTCTCCTCCACGTGTCTCCACTCCGCCCGGTGTTTCTGCGTCTCGTTCTTCTGGATCCTCTGTCTCTTCAGACTCAGTTTCTTCCGGAGACGTTTCTTCTTTTTGGCCCAACGCGAGCAGAGAGGCATCTGTTGTCTCCGGCTCCTTTTCTGTCTCTGCATCGCCCCCTGCTGGTTGGTCCTCAGACTGCACCTCCTCCTGACCATCCACCTTCTTCCCCTTTTCCTCCGCTGTCGTTTCAGCTGGACTCACGAGACCCTCCTCTTCCACTGCATCCGGCTCCATTTTACTTTTCTTAACCTTCTTCTTCTTCGATGGAGTGGCCCGAGGCATTTGTTGCTCTGCAGCCGACTCCGCCTTTAGTCTGTTCTCTTCTATCAGGGAAACCTGTTCCTGTATCCCTGAAAACGGCTGCTCCATGTTTCCCAAATGGCACTCCTCCCGCTTGAATTTGGCTATCTCATACTGCAGGAATGACTTCATAATTTCCCTCAGTTCCTCCATCGTTTTCACCTCCTCACTTGGTCAATCCCACTTCTGACACCAATTGTGAAGCTGACCGTTGAGCGACCCGACCAAGCAAGGAGGCAGAACGTCCAAAATACAACCCGGTGTGGGCATTTATTACTCACGGGCACATGACACAGCCTCAATCTGCTGTTCACGTGAGCACAGCCACCAGGATCTCACACACACTACCACCCACACAGACAGGGAAACAGAGCCTAAATACTAGGGGTGCACCGAATGGGAAATTCTTGGCCGAAACCGATACCGAAAATAGGAAACAGTTGGCCGAAAACCGAATGCCGAAAGGCCGAAAATGATTAATAGAAATATATATATATATAATGTATACATTTTTTACCAATGTTGTTCAGCTACCTGATTATGGAAATAGACATGATTATGGCAAAACTTAAATAATAATCACTATTATGGGTCCATAAAACATTTATTCAGCACTTTTGAATGCATACAGTACATTTATATATGTCATGTATTATTGCTAAAAAACATTATATCGCAGTCTTAGTGTCGCCAACTCGTTTCTAATATGCAAAGACAACAAATGCGTCTATGATGTATTTTCGATCAGACGAGATCTCTCTCCCGTCTGTGTGCGAGGGGGCGGGGTAGTTTACACACACGCAGCTGCTACATGCAGCGGAGCACACTGCGGAGATGGCGGAGAGAACACGCTCCGAGGTGTGGTTAAACGTTACCCGTCTCGATGTGGAGAATACTTGTTACCATAAGTGCAATTAAGAGTTTAGCATGTAAGCACGAGCAATTTGTCTAAACATTTAGCAAAAGTGCACCGCATGCAGACGGAGGAATGCACCGGGTTCGACCGTCTTTCTAGCAGCTCTGTAGCCCCATCCACGAGTAACGTTTCCACGTCAGGTGTTATGTATGCTAGCAGCAACACACGGAGTTAACTACATTATACAAACATGGGTTAATGATTAGAGGTAACTGAGTTATTTAGTTTGTTAAAATGTCAGCTATTCTGTTTACAGTTCTGTCATCAGATTATTTAATACGATTTGTTAAAGGCTCAGGGCAATCTCGATGACAAAGGTCAATGTTCCCCCCCCCCTGTGAGCCAGCCGCGAGCATGGTCGCCGCGTCTTTATTACGTCATCACAACAACACGTTAGGTTACCAACGTAAGCCTGTTCTGACATTCGGTGATATTTTCGGCCGAAAGCCGAAAGGGCCTTTTTAACCATTTTCGGCCGATAATTTTCGGTGGCCGAATATTCGGTGCATCCCTACTAAATACCCACACACTAATCAGCAATTAGACACAGGTGAGGGGGGAGGAGACAACACATGGCACCAGGTGAACACAATCAGGAGCAACAGACAAAACGGGTTTGGGGAACACCCCCAAACCAAACCACATGTGCAATGTTACAAGGCCCGAAGTTACCTTCGTCACACCATTATTCATATCAATATAACAGATTACCAAAAATGGGGTAATTCAAACCATGCCTGCAAAGAGTCCATCCTTTATAAAATAAATTACCATTAAACAGAGGAGCTTTTCCAATTACAGTGTGTCTTTCAGGTTAGCAAGATTCAATTTGAAGTTTTCTAGTTTCACCTTATTAATAGACACATTCATATTTCAAGCTTTTGGAATACCTATGTTGTAAATGTTGTAAAGAACTCAGACACTTAGGAGGTAGGACCCAATTGCATGACCCGGGAGACAGGTAAAGTATTGGTAAGATACTTCATTTTCCAAAACAAAAAGCAAGATGAGCAAAAAATTGTCACTTTCAAATCTCTAGCTGAGATGACAAAAAAATAAGAACAAAATGAAAATCGCTCACGTGGTGAGGAACAAAACTGTGGCAAGAGACAAGACCTTCCATGGCAAAAGACAAAAACGAACTGACAAGGAACACTGGGAGACTGGGGAATTTAAACACTGGGTAACAAGACACAGGTGGGAACAATCAGGGGCGGGGCTGACACTGATGAGCACAGGAGACACAGAAGTGGTGACAGGTGAAAACAATCAGGAAATTAGACACACCAGGGAAACTAACGACAGACAGGAAAACACAGGGGGAAAAGACCAGACAATACAGGGAGGAAAACATGACAAGGAGAAAAGCAAAACACCCACTACCAGACACACAAAACTAAAAACGTGACACAACACACAAATCGTGACAAATCTATTTTCTTTTTTATTTACACATGACATCTATTGCACGTCTCTCTGATAGGGATCCTCCTATGTTGCTCTCCCTGAGGTTTCTTCCATTTTCCCCCACTAACTGTTGGGTTTTTGGAAGTTTTTCCCTATCAAATGTGAGCATCCAAGGACAAAGGGTGTTGTATTCATATTCTGTACAAACTGTAAAGTCCACTGAGACAAATGTAAAAATCTGTGATACTGGGCTATACTGTATATAAATAAGCTTTAATTGAAACTTTGCTCCGTCACAATGCTAGGACTGCTCTCACAGGAAGACGTGGAGCTGATTGCCGAGCTGTCTCGATGTCCTCCTGTGACACATCCAAACATCTGTCATCAAAGTCACCTCAACAAATACAGCTCCATATCTGGCCTCTGCAATAACAGGTAACTCTCCATTTGTTGGTAAATGCACTGTAATGTAAGTCGAAGAGGCTCGACTATATTGTTATAAAGGAATAAATATTGTATTAGAGTCCACACAGAATCTTCGTGGGACTTAATGAAGGAGGTTCTGAAAAGTGATGGGATGTAGAAGTCATTTATCCCATGTTGATGTTGTTGATTTTACTGTGTCATACACAATGTGCACCCAAAAGGCAAATACAACGTATTTTAATTAGCAGTTTATGAAATTACGTAGAAACTGCATATTATGCTTCTACCCACCACTGGGAATTACCTTACGTTTTTGCGAAAACCTAATGCCTGTCTGAATTACAACCAATTGAATGTAAACACGGGAAACCTTTTATTATTATTTTTGTTATCATTTAGATGTTATTGTTAATTGCAGATACACTGTAATAAGTAAAACAGTGATACGGTGCAAAGACAATGCTCACACACAAAACAATAGAATTAGGGGTGGGGGAGGAATGGCAGTGTCATTTTATTTTATGAATTGTGATCCCATTTAACAACTAGTGTAGCCATGGGAACACATGCCTGTTCATGGTCTTGCAGCAGTACATTAAGTATTTTTCTTGCCACAGTTCATGGTCTACTCCAAAACAGAAAATTTACTTTAATTATCATTATTTTGTTTATTTATTTTTTACATGACTCACTATACCTGCCCCCAGAGTGAACAACATGGGTCCAATAGTGGCTTCTTTCTTATTAGAAAGTAGAGCGGCCTCGATGATGTAAGTCCAGAAATGGCTTGATAGTAACTGATCAAATGTATGTATTTCTGTATTAATATATGGCAACATAAGACACAAAACCAGTTTTAACAGCAAATTCACACATTCATGAACTGACTACCACCTGATTTGTCAGTGAGTTTAACAAAAATATTAAGCAAATCTCGCAATTAGTTACCTAGCATATTGATAAAAATGTAGTGTTTTATAAACTCCTCATGACCTTTTGGAAGGAAATAAATGATGTTGTATTTGTTGATGGCATATTCTGTTTGTGCTGCTGTATTTTTGGGAATGCTTCATGATTATTTTTGTCAGGCAAAATCCTCTCAGGGGAGTAGCCAGCACTCCCTTGGTCAGGTGGCTTCCCGCTGAATACGAAGACGGAGGGAGAGAGCCCAAGGGCTGGAACCAAGGACGGCTCCATAATGGATTCCAACTTCCCCCGGTAATCTGCTCAATTCTGATCCAGCAGACACAAAAAGTCTTGGTGGAGACATTAGAAAGTGAAGCGAGCTCGCCCTGCAAACCCAAGTTAATGTAGCTTTCTATTTCTTTTCTTAACCTGTTTCACAGCAGATAAAGTCCACTAGCAGAAGTGTGTGAGATGGCACAGATTACAGTTTCATTTAAATATTGTGGCCTTTGCTTTAAAAGACACTATTTCCCAAGCTATAAAAGTATATTTCCAGTCATGGGGATAAACAGTGTAACGGAAATCAAACTGTTTTGCGGGGTCATTTGGGGGAAGAAAATATTTTGTAACCAGCACGTAGTTTTTCTGCATATAAGAGATAAAAGGTATCCAAAGTCATTTATAAAGATTATCTAAATGAAGTATTGGCTAATACATGTATTGAATTTAATAAGTACTTTTTTAAGTAGATAATAAGGTTATCAAAGAAAAGAGGCTTGCCTGAACATATCAAACTATGACTTTTAGTAATGTATCAATTTCTCATAGAGGAAAGAAAAGGACATTAGTACCACAAAATAAGGCCATAAATAATTGCATAAATAAATTCTGAAATGAATGCATGCATGAATAAATAAATGTAAGATGATTATCAAAAAGCACATAAATAAATATATCTTTAATATATTTTTACATTCTTGTTTTGAGTCATCACCCCTGACGTTAAAAATAAGTACTTGTTGTCATCCAAAACAATATAATCTTTCTGTTTTAACAGCCATGGGAAGTCAGCAAGAAAATAATGAGGAGCTCGTCCAAACTGAAGGACGATGTCTATTCTCACATGCTAGTGGAGTGGGGTCAGTACATCAGCCATGACATGACCATGACCCCTCAAATCAAAGGCGGAGCCGGCCTTTGGAGTGATGTGGACTGTTTGAAGACATGTCAAAATGTGCATCCGTGCTTTCCCATTGAGGTAAGCACAACAGTCCTTGAACATTTTCATTTTTCTTGTTGAGACTTAGATCAATAACCGCCTCACTAGCAAGGACCATACAGTATGTCAGTTGGAGATGTATTCACAGGACATATTGAATGTAAATGGAAAGGGATAAAAGGATGAGAGATGACGCCTGTCAGTCTGGTCTGAAGGATGAACTGAAGCCAACTCAGAGGAGAGACTTGGGGTGGGAGTTCGGTTCCATGACGTGTTTCTGCCCAATCTCAATAGGGGCACCAGGCGTACCAGGAACAAGATCATAAGTATGCATAGAAAGAGATAAGGGGAGACACGAAGAGGGGATAAAGGGATCTAGGGATGTAGTGATGAAGGGTCAAATGGATACAGGAAGGGTGAAGGTTTGAAGAGATGTTGTGAAGCAGGGATGAAGGGTTAAAACGATAAATGGATGAAAGATGTAAGGAGAGAGTGATGAATTGATGGATGAAGGAAGGGAGGGAGGGAGGGGGAGTGACGGGTCGAAGGGGGTGTAGGGAGGGAGGGAAAGGGATGAATGGTTGAAGGGATGTACTGTAGAGAGGAAAGAACGGACAGATGTAGGGAGAGAGGGATGAAGGGAGGGAATGGCTGCACAGTGAAAATGGTGAAGGGTCGAAGGAATGTAGGGAGGGAGGGGTTGAAGAGACAAAGGTATGTAGGGAGAGAGGAATATAGGGATGTAATGAAGGATGAATGTGCAACGGGATGATGGCAAGGAAGTTTATTTATATAGCACTTTTCAACACAAGGCAATTCAAAGTGCTTTACAAAAAATGAAAAACATTAAGAAAATGGCATTTAAAATCAGTCATTAAAAAGAAAAGCTAATAAAAGAAACATTAAAAGAAAAAGTACATGGATAAAAGTTACAGTGCAGTCTAAGATATGAATAGTTCAATTAAAAGCAGCGACAAAAAGAAAAGTCTTCAGCCTGGATTTAAAAGTAGTAAGAGTTGCAGCGGACCTGCAGGTTTCTGGGAGTTTGTTCCAGATATTTGGAGCATAATAACTGAACGCTGCTTCTCCATGTTTAGTTCTGACTCTGGGGACAGAAAGCTGACCAGTCCCTGAAGACCTGAGAGATCTGGATGGTTCATAATTTAGCAGTAGGTCAGAAATGTATTTTGGGCCTAAACCATTCAGTGCTTTATAAACCAGCAGCAGTATTTTGAAATCTATTCTTTGACACACAGGAAGCCAGTGTAAAGACTTCAGAACTGGAGTGATGTGATCCACTTTCTTAGTGTTGCAGCGGCGTTCTGAATCAGCTGCAGCTTTCTAATTTTAGTGAGACCTGTGAAGACACCATTGCAGTAGTCCAGTCTACTGAAGATAAAAGCATGGACAAGTTTTTCCAAATCCTGCTGTGACATTAGTCCTAGATATATTAGGATGAATGAATGTTGGGAGGGAGGGATGAAGGGTCAAGCGATGAATGGATGAAGGGATTTGTGAATGAAGGAACAACACAACTACATTGATCAGGAGATGCTCTGGATGGTAACAGATTGTAACAAATGATTTCATGTTCTCCACAGACAGGTGATTCTATCAAAGCTGCACGCGGCTGCATGCCTTTTTTTTCGCTCCAACGCAGCCTGCGCCATCCATCGTGGCTCAGATATTCGACAAGCTCTGCAGCGACAGCAGATGAACGGCATCACACATCGTTCATAGATGCTTCGACCGTGTACGGCCACAGTCCGAGGCTGCAGAGTTCCCTCCGTGACCTCTCTGGCCTCGATGGGAAGCTTGCTGTCAATGACCAGTTCAGGGATCACACAGGAAGAACATACCCTCCATCCGTTGCCAATCTGCCATCCGCCTGCCGCCAGGGTCCGCACGTGGAGAGAGTCGAGTGTTTCAGAGCTGGAGACAGTCGGCTGAATGAGGGTCTGCCCCTGATCTGTCTGCACACACTGTGGCTCAGGGAACACAACCGCATCGCAGAGGCACTGAAACACATCAACAGTCATTGGAGCCCGGAGACTATTTACCAAGAAACTCGCAAGATTGTCGGAGCACTGCATCAGGTATGTGACGAGCAGCTTAACATGTTTAAAAATATGCAAAACCAAAAACCTCTTTAAGCATTAAAGTATATTATTTAGTTTCCAAGTGACCTGCTGATTATGTATTTGAGTTATTGAAAATCGACAATTTAATTGCGTGCAAAACTTTGTTTTAATAGTGTGTTTTGCACTTTATGCAAGATTCAAGATTCAAGGCTTTATTGTCATGTGCACATTAGCTACAGTGTAGATATGGCAATGAAAACTTAAGACACAGGGTCCTCCAACAGTGCAACATGAATATATATAGGACATACAATAGATAAAATAGTGCAAGAGTGTGTTGCACTTATTAAAGAATGTCAAACTGATTAAAAAAAAGACAAAGTGAGGCCTGTTGTTTACAAGAAAACAAGATATTCTTCTTTCATGAAGCGTGTCGTGACTTAAGGTCATTGAAGCATTCACACAGAAGAGAAAAAGAAATAGCCTTGACTGGAGCTTTTTCAGAAAGAATTCTTGCATTTATTGCTACAAATGTACAGTAGACTGCGCAGCAATGTCGTACAACTTTTTTATCCTGTCAAATAATATTCATCATCAAATTGAGTTATTCGACAGACAAGGAATAGAAGTTTAAAATAATATATGTTTAGATGTCTATATGTATGTGAATTATCATGTTGTAGAGAAAGACATTATAATGATGATCGTAAAAACTGTAGGTGCTGTAAAAAGAAATGTAGCTTCCAACTATTTTAATCTGTTATGTTCTTTTTCAGGTTCATGATTAATGTTCAAAAAGCTCTTTATTTTCCTCATACTGCCTGTGCTGCAGCACCTCTTTTCACCCTCTGTCTGAAACCAGAGGCCAGTCTGCTCATTAAACATTAAAGCATGGAAACTTCTCACAGTAGAGGCACTAAATACAAATATAAATGTGAACAATAATAGCTAATGTAGCTCTGCTTTGCACACATTTCTGTTAGGATGGTTCTTTATGTCAGGGAGGAGCAACAGAGCCAGACGGACAATTTGATGATTGACAGGTCATAATCCTTTCTTGTAAACAGTCTCTGTGCACGTTCCATACCAGTTAGCACAAAGGATGTCCCTGTCACCATGGAAGGCAGGCTTTGCAGCAATGACTGTAGATAGAAGTTATATTAGCTGTAGGCAATGGGTTTCATTTAGTTGGGTACATACTGTATGTTTGCATGAAAAAAATATTAACAAACATGGTTTTGATGGAAATGAATCATGTTTTCCTGTGAAAGGGACAATCCTGATGCTAGGCTGTGAAGTTTTTAAGGCATTTCTACGCCGAGGGAAAATAAGTGTGTAATCTTTCATACTTTGGGGCCTGACATTTACTCTGAAAGTGGATTAACACCTGCTATCATCAGGGGGCTTTTGGACAATGCCAGAGGAAAGAGATTTACATTATTAAAGAGAGATCTAATGGAGGAGGATGGGTTTTTGAAATAATTTGTGAGGATGAAGTATAAAAGTGCAGGTAGGGGATTTAAATACTGTAGCTATAACCATGACAAACTCAGAAAATCCCTGTATTGGAAGTGGAGTGGAATTTTAAAAGCTGAGATGAAGAATTAAAGAAACACCAAAGCTCAGTTTTTTCATTATCACATCCTTCATTTTATTACACTATCATCTCTTAATCGGACAGTACATATATTTGATCGCAAATATCCCCAATGTAAAATACATTTGCAAAAACGACTAAGAAGTACATTCTATTAAAGTAATTACTTGAGGTCATGTGGTGGTGTGAATATAAAAATAAACATGTTTATCTACCGCCATGGGTCCTGCAGAGAAATGGAGTGGTGCAGTGATGACTTATTTTTGTAGGCCAACCTGGAGATTAGCATCGCAAGGGGCTTCCTCGACAAAAAGCAATGGAAATTTGCATAGGATTTTGGTGTATTGCAGAAAATAAGCTTTGTGGCCAACACACGTTTATGGTGCATACACGGTGCATGAAGTAAAAGCGTGTTTTAAAACTTTATTTCTAACCACAAACAGTAAAAAAAAATCAATTATTTTAAGGCGAGCGAACCGAAGTGCTGAAATGTTCATCGACTCATTACTGCACTCACTCTATGACAATTAATAATTACAGTACTGTTTGATTTAATCAGACACGGAGAATTATTTCTACCATGGGGAAAATTTGTGAAATCCCAGGGGGAAACGACAAAACATTTGAGGTATAACATATAAGACTAATGCTAATGTAGTGTAGTTGTGTTATTGTAATATATTCTAATGTTGAAAAGAGTCTGCCTGTAATGAGAAAAGTTTTCTAGTTATCCAATCTTAGGAAAGAAAAACCTCTTCTCCCTTTAAAGTTTACAGCCTCAGCAGCTTTCAGCTCATTGTTGTGACACACACTTTAAATCCTCAAGCAGCTGTTCCCAGCAAACAAGCTCACACAGGGCAAAATTTAACGGAGGATGCTGTTTTCATACAGCATTATTCTTGACAAGTCACTGTAAAATGCACTACTTGAATGCATTAAAATATTAGCTTTGGCTGTAATTACTTACAAAAAAAAACGAAGGCTAGTGTTGCAATTAGACAGGAGTTGAAACATCAAGCGATGGGTTTTCAGGCCGGTTCTATGGACGGTGTGTTTGTTCCTGTTTATGTAACTTTCTAATGTTAACTGTGAGTTTTTACACAATATATTGGTTGATCTTCCCATTCAAAATATTGATTATTTGCACAAAATCTAGTTCTTGGCAAATGTAATCTTAAAATCCAGGCTTTTTCAACAGTAAAACATAAAATACGTAAAATAGTGCTAGAAAAAAAGTGCAACTCACACAATGAATGCAGAATGTAAATAACGTATGCTTTTGATGTAAGACAAAAAAGCAAATTCATCCAATACAACTCTTAATAACAAAAAATACATTGCAATTAAAGACAAAGGAAATCAGTCAAATTAATTTCCACAAAACTCAATATGATTAAAAAAAAAAGAAGAAGTGCAACAGGAGAAAAATACAGTAAGTGAATGTCCTGTTCTAGTCTTCGAGTTTTAGGCTCTGCTGAAAGCATATTCCCATCTTGATGTCCAGAAATGAAAAAGCAGATTGTGAAAAAAGGCAGTACTCCTCAGTGGGATGTTCAAGTCTAAGTTAAAAGCAATTCCTAATACAAACTAAAAAGATTGCTTAAAATAATCTGCTTAGATTCAGCCGCCTTCTTACTGTCCTGTAAATTGTGCCTTTTATGAGTTGATATAATTAACAAAAATATTGTTGTGCGATATTAGTCCTAAAACACGGAAAAAAAACGTCCTACTACTTCAGTTTCCATTTTAAAAGTTCATCTCAAAGTCAATGGTTTTTGTGAACGTGTTTGGGGATTCTGTGTCAACGAAAGCTTATGAGATTTTCCAAGTTTTGTTCTATATAAAATACGTGAGTAGTATACCCCACTCGTCAATGTCCGAAGTTCTATTCTCATAAAAACATTGGTTGCTAACAGTGACTAAAATAAACTACTCATGTCATTGCGCCTGGACTAGGTATAAGCCTTCAGTTTAGCAGCCCTGCGAACATGATGGTTATTTCATTTATAGCCGTTAACGTCCGAGATAATCCTGTTGAACAAAATCTGTTTAATTTTCAGAAACATGTGTTGGCCACAGAGCTTGTTTTGTGCATACAACTAATCCAATGGGGAAATCCCATTGATCTTTGTCAAGGGAACCCTTGCGATGCCAACTTCCAGGACTTTCTACGAAAATACGGCATCGCTGCATCCCTCTAAAGCTTTGTCAAGTCTCAAGTCATGAATACCAAGTCAAAGTCAAGTCAAGTCTTTTATCAATGTTAGTCAAGCAAGTCTCAAATAAAGAAATATGCGACTCGAGTCTGACTCGAGTCAAGTCATGTGACTCGAGTCCCCACCTCTGAGTATTAGTATTATCAAGTATTGTATATGTGGACAAAACATTATGTCCTATTTAGTTATTCGTTTTTAAGGATATAGGAGGTTTGTTTTAATTAAGTAAACAGGACTTGTGTGTAAATTGGTAGACGTGAACCTTTAGGGAGTTTAGTGCTATTGACAGCTGATCATTACATTTTGTTCTTGCAACCAACAGCTCTACGTATATCTTGCCCTTACAAACACATTTTCCCAACATTGGGAGACAAAGGATTTCCCCTGAGGGTGTGGATTTGTGTAGACAAATTAACTCTCCGATTGCCATAGGCGTACGTGTTTGCAGCTATAGTGGATTTGCCCTTGTTTTTTCAAGGCCAATCAACAGAAATGTAGACTTCGATGAATATGACTTGTAGTCATTGGGGTATAATGTGTTTTTTTAAGATTTGGATATAAACATGTGAATTAAAATGATCTAATAATGCTCCATTAAAGGCAAAAGTACAGATTCAAATCCCTACTAAAGTAAAAGTGCAGACGTGATATAAGTAGACACATTTAAAGTATCACGGTAAAAGTACTAAATAAGAGTGAAACGGCCCCTGAAAACATATGTAATTACTTTATATTTTATAATTTAATTGTTTACGGTTGCAGTATTTAAAGGGACCTATCATGCAAAATGCACTTTTGTACGCATTTTATACATGAATATGTGTCCCCCGGTGTGTCAGGGAACTCACCAAGTGTCAGAAAACACAACCCTCTCTCTTTTCCTCCATACCCAAATCTCTAAAAACAGGGCTGCAACGGAGCTGATACAGATTTGAATTTTTCTGACGTCAGAAAAGGGGTTGCTCCGCCTATATGGGCAACTCTCCACCTATTAGGGGAAAGAGAGACCGCTCGAAAGCGCTGGAGACGCTGTAGTACATGGGGGACCGTGCGGCATAGTTTCAGTTAGATTTTTTTTCGCCGGTCAACATGTCCGTTAAATTTTCGGAACAAAATTAGGAAAAGTGGCCGGTCAAAGGTCTTCTTTGTTATTTATTGAGCTTTTAAAACAAATGAAATAAGACTATATAATCATATAAAAATAAAACACGGAGGACGGAGATCTCTTTGTCTCCCCCTCTTCTGAGAGCCCAGCAACTGATCTCAGTGTCACGGTAGAGCGAAGGAAGCAGGACCCAATGCAGATTTAAACTGGTATACCTTTATTTTCAAGGATAATGAAAAATAGAACTAGGACAGACAGAACACTCACCGGTGAACACAGTCAACAACGAAAGACGAACCGACAAAGACAGACAGAAAAACCAGAACTTAAATACACACAAGACTAAATCACACAAACAAGACACAGGTGAGGAGGGAGGAGAAAACACAGGGCCACAGGTGAACCAAATCGGGGTAATCAGACACAGCCCAGGGAAACTAACGACAGGGAACCACAGACAAATCCAAACAAGACAAAACACCACAAAGACAGATCGTGACAGTACCCCCCCCCTCAAGGGACGGATCCCAGACGTCCCAAAAAAAGAACACAAAAGTCCAAAACCTCAAGCAGGGTGGGTGGAGGGGGTCCGGAGGAAGGACGTATCACTAGGCCACCAGGGTGGGTGGAGGGGGTCAGGAGGACGGGACTGAGCTGACCGCCCAGAGGCACAGCAGAGGACCAGGAAGGGATCTCGGGCGGACGGCCCGGGGGCAAGGCAGAGTTAAAAAAAAAGGGGGATTCGGGCGGATGGCCCGGGGCAAGGCAGAGTCTAAGGTGGGGGACTCGGGGGGCCGAGCATGAGGGTGAAGCAGCGGCAGGAAGAGTCAGGGGGCCGGGCTCGAGGACGAGGGCAGCGGCAGGAAGAGTCAGGGGGCCGGGATCGCGGGCCGAAGACCACGGCTCACAGAGGGCCGGGATCGGGCGAAGACCGCGGCTCTCAGGGGGCCGGGCTCGAGGGCGAAGACCACGGCTCACAGAGGGCCGGGATCGAGGGCGAAGACCGCGGCTCTCAGGGGCCGGGCTCTCAGGGGGCCGGGCTCGAGGGCGAAGGACCGCGGCTCCCTCAGGGGGGGCCGGGCTCGAGGGCGAAGACCAGAGAGCATCCGGTAGGCCGGGCAGGAAGGCGCTGACTGGCCAGCACCGGAGGCGGTGTCGGCCAGACAGCCAGGAACCGGAGCTGGGTGGGACAGGCCTCGGCAGGATCCCCCACGGAAGAGGACCAGGACACGGGATTGGTAGGACCCCCGGCGAGACAGGGGATGGCGGGGCCTCCAACGGAACAGGAACAAGGGTTGGCAGGACCCCCGGCAGGAGAGTAGACGGCGGGACCTCCAACGGGAGAGGACATAGGGTTGGCAGGACCCCCGGCAGGAGAGTAGTCGGCGGGGCCCTCCAACGAGAAGGACAAGGAGCTGGCAGGACCCCCGGCAGGAGAGTAGACGGCGTGACCTCCAACGGGACAGGACAAGGATTTGGCAGGACCCCCGGCAGGAGAGTAGACGGCGGGGCCTCCAACGGGACAGGACAAGGGGTTGGCAGGACCCCCGGCAGGAGAGTAGTCGGCGGGGCCTCCAATGGCACAGGACAAAGGGTTGGCAGGACCCCCGGCAGGAGAAGTAGACGGCGGGACCTCCAAACGAGACAGGACAAAGGGTTGGCAGGACCCCCCGGCAGGAGAGTAGTCGGCGGGGCCTCCAACGGCACAGGACAAACGGGGTTGGCATGACCTCCCGGCAAGAAGAGCAGTCGGCGGGACCTCCAACGGGACAGACATACGATTGGTAGGACCCCCGGCAGAGGAGTAGTCGACGGGGCCTCCAAACGGGACAGGACATGGAGTTGGCAGGACCCCCAGCGGAACCTCCAACGGACCAGGACATTGGGTAGGACTTGAGACGTGACTCGAGAGGGGACTCGAGAGGAGACTCGAGAGGGGAACCAAGGGGGAACTCGAGGAGAGAGGAGGGACTAGAGGAGGGACTAGAGGAGGGACTAGAGGAGGGACGAGAGGAGGGAACTCGAGAGGGGAACTAGAGGAGGGACTAGAGAGGGGACTAAAGGAGGGACTAGAGGAGGACTAAAGGAGGGAACTGGAGAGGGAACTGGAGAGGGGACTCGAGAGAGACTGGAGAGGAGACTTGGAGAGGGGACTGGAGAGGGGACTCGAGAGGGGACTCGAGAGGAGGACTGGAGAGGGGACTCGAGAGGGGGACTCGAAGAGGGACCGGAGAGGGGACTCGGGTAGGAACTTGAGAGGGGACTCGGGTAGGAACTTGAGAGGGGACTTGAGAGGGGACGAGGGGTTGAGAGGGAACTTGTGTCGGTCGGTAGCCGACAGGACACGGGGAGCTGGCGTCGTCTGGGGAGCCAGCAGGAGACGAGGGTTCTGGAGTCGGCCGGTACGCCGACAAGACTCGGGGAGCTGGCGTCGGCTGGGGAGCCAGCAGGAGACGAGGTGCTGGAGTTGGCCGGTACGCCGACAAGACTCGGGGAGCTGGCGTCGGCTGGGGAGCCAGCAGGAGACGAGGTGCTGGAGTCGGGACCATGACTGTATGGGCCACGGTTGTAAGATCCAGTTCTGGAGCCGGAAACATGGCTGTAAGGTCCGGAGCTGAAGCCTGGATCATGGCTGTGTGGGCCGGTTTTGGAGCCGGAAACATGGCTGCTGGGGCCGGCACTGGAGCCGGAACCATGGCTGCTGGGCAAGGAACCGGAACACGGATCCATTGCTGTGTGGGGTGGTACTGGAGCACGGTACCATGGCTATGTGGGATGGTACTGAAGCACGGAACCATGGCTGCTGGGTCCGGCACTGGAGCCGGAACTGGCGCTGGAACCCTGGCCTTTCGTCCTTTAGGAGTCTTTTGGAGGCTTTGTGGACCTCCAAATGCCAGACCAGACCCCAGGAAAGGGTCAGAACATGAAGCCTGGGACTCAGGGCTACATGAGAAAACCCTAAGCCACTCGGGCAACAAGTTCCAGAGCCAGGGCTTGCGAGCAACCTCCTGACGTGCCTCCTTCAACGCAGCCTCTCTACCCCGTCTAGATGAGGCGCCTTTCCATGTATAACAAATGTACTCCAGAGAGTATCCAAGACTTTCCGCCTGTCGCATCAAAAGGGCTGAGTCTGCTGGGTCCATAATGTGGTCGGTTCATTCTGTCACGGTAGAGCGAAGGAAGCAGGACCCAAATGCAGATTTAAACTGGTATACCTTTATTTCAAGGATAATGAAAATATAGAACTAGGACAGACAGAAACACTCACCGGTGAACACAGTCAACAACGAAAGACGAACCGACAAAGACAGACAGAAAAACCAGAACTTAAATACACACAAGACTAATCACACAAACAAGACACAGGTGAGGAGGGAGGAGAAAACACAGAGCCACAGGTGAACACAATCGGGTAATCAGACACACCAGGGAAACTAACGACAGGGAACCACAGACAAATCCAAACAAGACAAAAACACCACAAAGACAGATCGTGACACTCAGAGGCCCCCTCTCCTGCAGGGGGGCGTGGTCAGATGCAGCTCATTTGCATTAAAGCTAGTCACAGGGGGGTGAACAGGGGGGTCACAGGTTCAAACCCCACTGCGGTCAGCATGTCGTTGTGTCCCTGGGCAAGACACTTCACCCCAAATTGCTCCTGTGGGGATTGTCCACAGTACTGTAAGTCGCTTTGGATAAAAGTAACATGTAATGTCACAGAATCAGCCCTTGCAAAAACAGCGCTGGAAATGAGCAAATAGAGCGAAATGAGGCATGGCTAAAAGGCATGATCTGTTTGGTGTTTTGAAAAAAAACTTCACAGACATGTTTTATATAGGTATGGCCCTACAATTATTTTTCAAATATAGCATGATAGGTCCACTTTTTTAATACTTTCCATAAATGTACTCCAGTGTTTCTAACCAACCACAATGTATCGATCTGAAGGTTGAGGTGATCATTGGGGAAGGAAAGAAAGAAGTTCCTCTTATAATTTTAACTTGGGCCCAAAGGGGAACTCTAACCCTAACCTTAACCCAACCCTAACCCTAACTCATCTAATGATAAGATGGAATAATAAAAGCCCCAATGAGACACAACAATTTCTGAGCAGCAACAAGCAAAAAGTAGTAGAACTATCACATGTTAAATGTTTTCTTAAGAAAAAAAAGTAACCGGTAACTATAGCTATCAGGTAAATGTAGTAGATGAGAAAGTGCAATATTTCCCAGTTGATAATTGCATCAGTCCAAGTTAAAGTGTGCCCTCAAAGTCAAAGTGAAATCCCTCTTGTTTTTCCGTGAGTCAGCTAATTAAGTTAAATTACCCAGTCTTAGCCATCATTCTTGCAAGGTAGTCTTAAACACTGTCTGTCTTTACACTGAAGGCAGTTGACGTTTCATTAGTATCATCAATGCAACAACAAAGTTAATTTGAATGCTCCGTACAACTCCAAGACATGTGATCGCAGTAACGTGTACTGTGTATTAGCATCTGTGTGAGTGCATGCATGTGTATGCATTTGTGAGATATGTGTTGGGATTCAGGTGGTGAATTGAGGCCTTTAAATAGAGATGAGGATGGATGGAGTTCTCTGCAGTGAACTGTGAGGGAACAAATGTGCAATCATGTGTTCAAGGTCGAGATATTACAGAAGTATTCTTCACACTGGAAAGCCTAAGGGAATTTATTTTAGCTGCATGCATAAACTATCTCTGGATATTCTTAATCAATACCAAGGGCGAGTATGTGATAGTAATCGCTACAGGAGGTTATTCAATCACGTGGCTTTATTTTCTTTCATGTCCATCTAAGTCCAGCTTCTTTGTGATTCCCCTTCTCTTTTCTGCCTACCAGATCATCACCATGAGAGATTATGTTCCAAAAATCATTGGCGAGGAGTCTTTTGAACAGTACATTGGACCCTATCGGGGATATGATCCAACTACAGACCCTTCAACATCCAATGTGTTTGCGACCCGCTGCATTCAGGTTTGGCCACGGCACCATCTCTCCAATACTCCAGAGACTGAATGAGAGCTTCCAGATGCATGAGCACTTCCCCCACCTGAGAATCAGTAGCACTTTCTTCAGTCCATGGAGAATAGTCAAAGAAGGTCAGTACACAGTACAAAGCTGCCCATTGGAAGTAACAATGTTCCCTACAAGCGCACACAAAATACTGTATTTAGGTCAGCTTCAGCGTGACTTTTTTCAGAATGAATGTGTATCTTAGTGATATTATTATTTGAATGCAATACAAGTGACTTATGAAAGAGAACCTATGAATGGACATACGTCTATAGAGTAAAACCTGTATTAATATATCTAGTACATGACATGCAGTGTGCTGCTAGCCAAATGTGCACTACTCCACTTGACATTCTGCGTAGACACCTATCATTATATATTAGAACACTCATTGTTTTTCTAAAGTGTATTCCATTTGAAATAGTAAATCAACCAGTGGTCTTTTTTTTTGCAGATCTCCTATGTCTGAAGTTTCCCATCATATAGAGGGAAACGCAGCAGTCTTACCAAAAGAGTATTTTTGAGTGTAACTAGGTTTTATTATGATACCGAGTATTCATCCCAGCAGTGCATTTATCCGGTTTGTTTGAATGAAATTGTTTGGACACCTGTGAGCCCAAGGGTAGCAGAAAAGCCAGGTTTAGCAGTGATATACAGATTTTCTGAACAGCATAAAGGACATTTTACCATTTGGTCTGGTCTGTTTGGAATAAGGGATTAAGAATAGTCAAAGCAAGTCAGAATTGTTTGAAAAGGTTTGTTTACAAGAACGTTGTTATCTTGTTATGTGTAAGAGCATTTCTGAACCTTACAGAACATAACCATCTAAAACTGACTTTAAAGAAATGCTGTTTTTGTGTCTAGGTGGAATTGAAACCGACCCTGAGAGGTGCAATTGGAACTCCAGCATCAACAGCAAGCGCAAACATGCTGTTG